TAAAACAATCTTGGAAATTGGCTTAACAGGATTGTTGATCCCATCCAAGGATCTCTCCAAAAACTAACTCTTACTCCATTCCCTACTAAATCTAACATTCTTTTGTAGAATTGAAAAGTTTAACATTCTTTTGAGCAACTGAGATATGGAAGAGAAACTTGAAATATGAAAAGTCAAAATGAGAATAAAAATATACCTTAACGGAAGGATTGGCCAAAATGAAAGGGAAAAAATTTAATTTATCCTAAACATATATATATATATGTTTGAGATCTTAAAAAAGTACTCACAATTCTATCACAATGATATGGCAAAATATGTCAATTTTTAATTTATTTCACATTTAATAATAATGAATCTAACTCTCATATCACATCATTATTATGTAGTAAATTTAAGAATATTCTATAAATGTATAGGTTCCTACATTATTACATTTGTACGTCGACTAGTGTAATTGATGCCTTTTTTTCGGTGCTTTTAATTGATGGCTGTTGTCCTTGAAGGGAATAGGACTAGGTGGGTAGGGGGAATTCACCTCAGAAACCATGCATAGTCAAATGATAAGAAAACAAAGACACCACAAATTCACAACAACGAAAGATTCCTTTGTAATTTTTCTACCCATAAAGGGAAACAAAACACACACATGCAGTGCAGAGATGTCAAAAAGAGGAAAGTCCCTCCTCCCAACTCACTGTCCTATACAAGTTACAAAAGGATAACAGACACACAACGGTAAATCTAACCGTAATAACAGAAACTAACTGTTTACAAAAAACAATAACAATAATTAGAAGAAGAATCATATATATTATTTATATATAATCAAAATAGTACTATTTTATATATAATTTTTTGGAATTTTAATCACCACATGGCACATGGAAGCTATAGCTATAGGAAATTTGTGCTCGGGAGTCAAATTTGGACAGGAACAAAGGGATCTCTGCAGAAAAGATCTGGGGGTCGTGTTTGGTCGGCTATAAATTGTCCTTTTGTGTCTACTTCTCTTCTCCTCTGTGTGTTGTCTTGTGTGTTCTTTGATCAACCAAACCATTGGATTTTGCTTCATGCCCCCTTTATTTCATTTCCACTAGCTAGCTAGCTATATAGGAGTACTTACTCCAAATCATCAATTGGGATGGCTTTGAAATGATCATAAAATCCCATCTCACTTGGTATTGATACTAAAGGAATATATGTAGCTTTGGCTTTCATGCAACTGCTTTCTGGTTGTCTTTCCTCTGTTTTTACAAACTGCAATGTCCATGTCTAACAATGTCAGTACAACAAAGAGTTCTAATTCAGCTCGTTTAGTTTAAATTATCTGAATTCACTTTTAAAAATTAAAATTAATTTTTTTTTTTAATTTTGTTTTTTTGAATTTTTTAATATTTTAAGTGATTTTTTAATTTTCAGATATTCTATTTTTTTTTAGATATACTTGACATAAATGCACTTTAAAAGTATAATTTTGTAAAAAAAATCTTTAAATAAATCACTAAATACCAACAATACAAAAATAAAAAAAAATTCAATACATTTGTCATATTCTTGTGTATTTATTGATTATTAAAATTTTTTTTACAAATGTTTTACTTTTTAGATTCATCTGAGTAAGGTATATCTAAAAAGTTACTTAAAATTTTAAAAATATTCACTAATTTTTTTAAAAATACAAAGATAAAAAAACTCAATTTTCAAAAATTAAACCAAATATAATGAATCTGGTCCTTCTCTTCTTTTTTTTTAATACAAAAATATTAGGAATCATGAACATTTATGCCAAAAGTGGAGTGTATGGAGTAATAAATATACATGATTATGTACTACTACATTAAATTCAGCCATTGTACGTACACATAATTTTATTTCAAAAAATACTGAGAATTTATAACGTACACATTAAATTCATTTCTCATTTTGCACGTGACTTACACCATGACAAGTTTAAATTTACACCATGCATTAAAATTTTAACACTTTTTAAGTATATTCTAGATACATAGCTTCGATCCAGTAAATTTGTTTGATATCACTGAAAATCATTTTTATAGTTTTTTTTTTTTTTTTTTTTTTTTTTTTTTTTTTTTTTGTGGGAATAGTATGACAATACATACTAATTGTGTGTGTGTGTGTGTGTTTATTGTAAATTTAGGGTTGACATATATATTAAATTATAAATGAGACAGTGATTAGAGGGCTTACCAGATGTTTGTAGGGCAGCTAGCTGTAGCTTGGTATTTAATATTAATAGAAAGAACCCAAGTTGCCGAAACCAGATTGATTGATAAGTTTTTGTCTTTGGTCATGCACATCCCATAAGAGCTGTCCGTTATCCTGAAAGTGATGTATTTACAAGTAATGTTACAAAAATTGGGTTTTTCTTTTTAAATATATATATATATATATATATAGAAAGTATTTTATTTGTCATTTTTTTGAATATATTTCATGAATTTCAAAATTGGCCTTTGAATTGAAAACACACAACCTGAGGCTGCCCTTGTTGAAATAGAAGGGAAGAGAGTGCACTAGAGTACTCAGAAGTGGATAAGTATTGGGTGGTGTTGATAATGAAGGAGGTGGTGGAAGTGGTTCATCAGAAAAAGCAGTGGCCTTGGGAAGGTTGCATTGTTGTTGCACATTTTGAAATGGTGGTGGTGATTGTACCGAACCATCCAATCTCTAAATTTTCATGTCAGAGACAAAGATCCAACATCAGTTTCAATGCACAATAATTGCTTGTCCATTCCTTACCAACTAATTATAATAAGTAAATAAAAGGTAATATATATATACGTATGTATATTATATAAACTAATAAAAATTAATAGAAGAAACTGTTTTTAAGATAGACTTGAGTTATAACCCTACAGTCTACAGAGGATTTAATAGTATAAAGAGATGATGATCCAAAATTGATAGGCATGAGTTGTTACCAAACCCAAAATTGATAGGCATGAGTTGTTACCAAACCAAACCCCGGGTGAAACCCCCCCCCCCCCACCATGTCACCACCTTTGGATGGTATATATATTTAACATTTGAATAATATATGAATAGAATTCATCTATATTATTATATATGTGAGCACGTTACTTGATGTCTAATAGTGTAGTGGCTTCTCTTTATGTCACGTGGTAAATTTTACATCCTAAAATAAAAAATATATTTTTTAAAGGTATGGGTAAGATTTGAACCAAAAATCTTAAGTTTCATTAAAAAAACTCTTACTATTTAGACAATATACATATTATGATATTAGTTTTTTTATTATTTATTCTTATGCTTACTTATCTAAATTACACACGTATTGCGTGTCACCTACTAATATATATATATATAATGATGTTTGAATTGTGCACATAAACACTTTAAAATTTAAAACTCATCATGATACATTTATTTTTACAAAACTGTTAGTCATTCTAATGATTAATTTTTTACAAAAATTATTGAAGAAAAGCATTTTCTTTAACCATTTACTTTTGAAATATTATTATATAGTATATTATATGGGTTTGTTTTATACCTGATCAGGTGTAACCATCAATGCATCCAAGTCCATTCCAAAGTCATAGAACATGGGATTGACAGAAGCAAGCTTCATAGAAAGGAACTGAAAATTTTGGAGAAACATAGATAGAGATGTCCTTTAGGTAAATTGCTTTGAAAGATAATAAAATAATTAGAAAAGTAGGAGTAGAAAAACTTGTACTGTGTTTTTACCTCAACTTGGTTTTGGAGAGATTGGACATAGCTGATGATTTCATCCAACATGAGGGCCTTCCCAGATACCTATTTTTCAGTAAAGCCACATGGAACTGTCAGAAGATCATGCTTCTCCTTCTCCTAAAGGAGAGGAGTTTAGAACTTAGAAAAGCGTTATTTTAAGTTGTGAAAAGAAAGACAAAGTGCAGACAACAAGGTTCTGATCACCTTGACCTACCTTATCACACCCTGGAACAAGAGCTTGCAACATCTTCATCCTCTCACTTATTTTCTCTCTCCTCACCTGAAGCATGATAGCAAGGAATTTTAGTAGTCATTTTGTAATAATATTACAAATGTAGAAAGATATTCTAAAAGATACTCAAATTTTAAAATGTATGGTATAAATTAATTATATTATACAAAATTTAAATCTACGTCATATATTCAAACAAAAATTTCTTTCTTAGTATGAAACATCCTATACGAACTTTAGTTTCAAATATGTATAAATATCAGTTATATATGGTTTTATATTGGACAATAACAGATAATATTAGCTGATATATTGATATTATCAGTTTAAAATTTTAATAGGTGACGAACAATCTAATACTTAGCTTTTTGTTTGGGATGTGAATTGATTTTTTGACTTTTTAACTATTTTAATTTAGGGTAAAAAGTCTTGTTTAAAATGATCTTTTTGACTTTTGTGAAAGAAAAAATAAAATGAAATAATTTAAATGTGATATTTTGTCTTATTAATCTTTTGACTTATTTTGTTTTTTTTTTTTTGATTATTTTAAATTAAAAAATTTATGCAAAACATAACCTTAATAACCTATATTTAAATCTTACTTTTGGGTGGACATATCAGGAACTTGTGGTTTGAAAAGTTAAATGTAAAGCTATGAATAGTAAAAAGGTGGTATATCCCACCAGCATCTTTTAGAATGTTTTTTTTTTTTAAAGTTTTCTAAAATGGCGTATTATGTAATTTTGGAGTTGAAAAAAAAAAAAAAAATCAATAAGTGACACTTGCATCCCCATCTTTTATTTATATTCACTATAGACACACTTGCGTTGATAATTTTTTTTTCTCGTTCTCTGCTGCATGTAGTTCATCCTAAAAAGTACCCTCTCTGCAAGGCTGTGGCTGTCTGTTGCTTGGCCCCTTCTTGCTCTTACATGAATATAGCCTGCTTTTGGGGCTTCTTCAAGAGCCGCCTTCTTAATATCATCAGCTTTTGGCCTCTTTTCTTCATCACCATCTTTTTTCACACTGTTGCATTTATTTTGCTTCTTTCCTTTCACTTCTCTGGCATGCTATATCACAACAAACTCCAAATCAATCGCCCGTTTCAGGATCATCTTCAACAACATTAAACCACAAATACATATATATGTAATTGAATAAGATCTAGAAGTGGGTTTAATCATACCTTAGAGTGAGGAGAGTAGTTGCTCTTCCTCTTCCTCTTGTTGTCCATGGTGGTAGACACCTTCTGAGTGACTTGATCAACAGTACTTTCAGGCTTATCAACCACTGATGAAGAGTCTGTGCTATGTTTATTAATATTGGTCACAGAAGGAGAAGGTTCATTATTGCTACTAATATAAACTTTTATGACATTTTCAAGGCAGCTGCTTTCATGAGCACTGAGATCAACAGGGATTTGGTGAAGAGATTGAGATTGAGGTGGGTGACATTGAGAGAAATAGGAGGAGTTGGTGATGGTGGTGGTGGTGGTGTTGTTTGGTTCCTCTGAAAAGCCAGGAATCTTAATGGGAGTGTTTGGGTCAAGGAGAAAAGGGTCGTGTTGGTAGTATGAAAAAGCTGCCATTCTGAGATAGCTTTGGAAATTGGAATTTTGATGAAAATGGGAAGGCCTCAAAGAAAGATAGGGATGGAAGACTGAAAAGAGAGAGAGAGAGACCGAGCATTCAAGGGAAAAAACAGTGGGCCTGTGCCTGAAACAATCTAAGAGGTCAGGTGTTTATATAGACATGAGGAGGGAGGGAGGGAAAGATGAGAAAGAGGACAACCAAAATTGCTACAATCTCTGGTAGGTTGTAACTGATCCCCATGCAGCTTCCTTTATGTTTGACTAGTCTTATCTGTGCCTGAAACAATCTAAGAGGTCAGGTGTTTATATAGACATGAGGAGGGAGGGAGGGAAAGATTGAGAAAGAGGACAACCAAAATTGCTACAATCTCTGGTAGGTTGTAACTGATCCCCATGCAGCTTCCTTTATGTTTGACTAGTCTTATCAGCGAATTAAAATTTATTCCATGCAATTAGGGCATGGTCAAGACATATCTTATAACGTTTGTAATGGGAACAGAAGATAGAATTCATAATTTTATATTCATTGATGGGAGAAATTTGTATATGTTCCAATGGTACCTTCTATCAATAATAAATATGTATATCTTTTATAATTTTTCAAGTACTCAATATAATTATAATAAAATTTATTATTAAATTTAATTATAATAGAAAAATGTCACGTGACATTTACTGTCTGACACCCAAAATTTCTACTCTGATGAAAGAGGGACAAAAATTTAATGATTTATAATTAGTGTGGAACATGTGACATCTAATAATTGTTCTCTCTAGACATATGTTGGTGTATGTATATGTCTGTTGATGGAAGGTGGGGCTATATTTGTGTATGTAGGTCTCTCGAGAGTACTCCTTGCCTATGGTCAGGTCAGAATTACACCTTAGTGTTATTAGATAAAAAAAATATTTTAAAAAAGGTAAATATTATAAATATTAAAAAATTATAATTTTTTGCAATAATACGTAATATTTTCTTAAAAACCGGCATGAATAGTAATTTCCCTGTTATTGTTCTACACAAATATAAATAAGAACACAATCCTGCTGCATACCCCCAGTGGGGGTCGCACCCCCAGTGAGGTGTCGCGCCCCCACTGGCCGAAACCCAAAAAAAAAAAAAAAAAAAATTTTTTTTTTTTAGTCCAATTATGGACTGCCACCTCACTGGGGGTCGACCCCCAGTGGGTGTATGAGCCATTTTCCATAAGAACATTTGTACTTCAATATAGGTTTGTAGGTCTTAATATGTCATATAATAATTAATGGTATTTTTTTTTATCAAATACTATTAAAAAAAATCACTAATTATTAATTTTTAGTGACAGTTTAAAATTTTATCATAAAAAATGTCAACATTATTAAAAAACGTCATTAATTATTAATTTTTAGTGACAGTTTAAAAATTTTATCATAAAAAATATAACTAATTATAAGTTGTAGCAAAAGTTTAAAAAAATCGTTACAAAAAAGTCACTAATTTTCAAGTTTCAGCGTCAGTGTGAACATCACAGAAAACGTCACTAATTGTAAGTTTTAGAGATCATTTATAAAAATCATAATAAAAAAAATCCATTAATTATCAATTTTAAGCAACATGCACAAAATTGTCATAAAACATTATTTTTAGCAATGAATTTATTATGACTTATTTTGAATAGGACTTGATGAGAATTAAATTCAACTATTAGAACCTATTGGTAATTTATGCTTAAAAAACATATTAAATCAAGAATAAATTTTTATCAATTTTAATAATTAAAATTATAAAATTTTCAAAAATTTATAAATATTTTATAAAAGGTCCAGTGATTTGTAATTTTTTCATGCAAATATGTCATGATCAATAGCATAATTATTAAATGAGTCTTGTTAGGATGGGACTTGTATTAAAGTTAGTACAAATAATTTATTTGATGAATAATTAATTAAATATTTTTATATTATTTTGATTAAAGATACAATAACAATTTTTAATCACGTATGTAACTCAATCAAGTATTTGTTTTTGTTTTTGTTTTTATTTTTTCTTTTTAATCTATGAAAGTTAGTGGTTAGTTGTTAAATTAGTACATTGGAGAGTTGAAACCTACACCAATACACTTTACAAGAAAATCTTGCCCTCTCTTCCACTTCTAACAGTGAAACCCAAGACCTCCCCCTTATGAGAGATTTGGTAGCCAAAGGGCTAGCTTTTAATCTAGTTAAATAAAAAATACATATAAAATAATATTTTATGATTAACATAAATTTTTGTCATATATTTTGGAGTTATACTAATAATAATAAGGTATAATTTTTTAAATTAAGGTGTTTTTGTTTTTATTTTTTCTTTTTAATCAATGAAAGTTAGTGGTTAGTTGTTAAATTAGTACATTGGAGAGTTGAAACCTACACCAATACACTTTACAAGAAAATCTTGCCCTCTCTTCCACTCCTAACAGTGAAACCCAAGACCTCCCCCTTATGAGAGATTTGGTAGCCAAAGGGCTAGCCTTTAATCTAGTTAAATAAAAAATACATATAAAATAATATTTTATGATTAACATAAATTTTTGTCATATATTTTGGAGTTATACTAATAATAATAAGGTATAATTTTTTAAATTAAGGCAGCCAAATTGAGTTGAAATGAAACACTTTTATGATTATTTCTTGGGATAAATTATTAACAGGTCCTAATAGTTCGACTTAATTCTCATTAATCATATCAATTCATCGCTGAAAGGTGACCTATTAGAATCGTTGCTAAAAATGACGTTTTGTGACAATTTTCTGAATCTATCGTTAAAAATTGACAATTAGCAATGTTTTATGTGACAATTTTTTAAATTTGTCACTAAAATTTCGCAAGTAGTGACATTTTTTTTGTGTGTGTGTGTGTGTGTGTGATGAATTATTCAAATTGTCGTTAAAAATTAACAATTAATAACTTTCTTTTCATGAAAACGCTGCTAATTATCATAGGACTTATTAAGCAATAAACTTACCAATTAGAACCTGCTCGTAAATTTCCTAATTTTTATCTAGAAAACTTGAAATTTAAATTATGGATAAATTTCACTATATACTTTGTATTTTTAATTAAGAGTGAAATTGTTGACATGACATGAACTAAATACGAATCGAAAATAAAATTCAACACTGCTACATCCACCGAATTTATTTAGCTAGAATTTGTCTAAATGAGTTTCTGGGAAAAGACTCATTCGGGTAAATTCGGGATAAACAAATTTGATAGATGAATCATTAATCAATAAATTTACATGATGACACAAAAAAAAATAAGTTAATTAAGTGAATATTAAAATAATTCTAAAGCGATACGAAGACAACCAACATAATACGAGGTTGAATCTTATTCATGTCATTTTACTTTTAAATAAAAAAGCGCCTAATGCAGGTCTTGTTTGGGAAGTTGACTATTTTAGTTGCCTATTAGATTTTTTGACGATTTTAACCTGTCTAAAAAAGTTGTAATTGAAAAGTTTCTTTGCTTTTTTAAGTTGATTTGATGATTCCGAGAGGAAAAAAAAAAATTATGAGTTGAATATGACATTTTATCTTATTAATTATTTTAGCTTATTTGTCTTTTGGTGGGCTATTGTAGCCCAACCCCCTTCCCAAACGAGATCATAACTTAAAATTATATTTACCTTGAGGCAACCCAATTGGTTGTTCTAGATTTTTATGAGATTTATGTATTCCTATTTCAGATAAGTTATGATATTTTTTGAAAAATGTTACGAATTTTTTGTAATGAAGTTATTAATTTTGTGATGAAAATTATAAATGGTGAAATTATGATGTGCATTTAAAAATTATGTAAAACTAAAATTATATAATTTTTTTTGTGAGAAGCAAAAAGTAATATTTTTTGTGAAGAAAAAAAAAGTTATGCTTCTTGTGACAAAAGTAATACATTTTGTGATAAAAGTGTATATATATATATATTTTACATAAAGTGTATACCATATACACCCCCAATAAGTGCACATGGTAGTCTTTCATTTAAAATTTGAGTGCTACTATTAGCACTACAATTAATGCTTTGGACTCCTATTTCTTTCATTTTTTATTATTACAATAATAATCTCAAATGAAATTATTAAAAATGACATGAATTATTTTGAAACACCTCATCTCATAATTAAACACACTGACACACTAAATCATAACATAGGATTTATGAAACCACCCACATCCATCACAAGCCACACACTTCAAAACCCTCAAAACCTATACACCTTCAAAACCCTCTGGTGGCAATGGCAGAAACAGCGGCAACTATTCAAAGTACACACTTCTCCAGTAATGGCAATCAGTAAAAGTTTTTTCAACAACCCTAATATCACGGGACGAATGGATCCTCATAATATAAGCTCAGAAGATGTTCACAATTTGGAGGAGGTTGACTTTCTAATGATAAGTTTTTTTTCAAAAACAAGAAGAAATAAAATAAAATAAAATAAATTAAAATGAAAACGGTTCTTTTTTTTGTTTTTTTTGTTTTTAGATACTAAACTCCCAAACATATGTCAAAAAAATGGCAACACATGACCGAACTAAATTCAAATTTAAACGGTTCTTTCTAATGATAAATTTAAGTATCATAAAATTTTCATTTGGTACACTACTTGAGGCCATCTCAAGATTTAAATTTGAAAATTATTTAATATATGTAGAACGATACATACAAAAATTTAATTAAAACAAAATTGATAATAAGTAAAAAAAATAAAATAAATAATAATTATCTATGCATATAACTAGGGACCGGACTGTCTCTAGTTTCGTATTTGAATTAGACGGTCCAATTCAGTCCATTTTTGATAATCTAAACCATTCAATGTGTGTGGCTCATCAAGTATTTCATCCCTGTAAAACTCATGTTGATCAGATATCAATAGCCACTTGATCAGATCACATTTGTTTCAATAATTTATTTTTAAAATTACACTTACTAATATTCGATTAATGTAATTTTTCTACAAAAATAAAATACTCAACAAATCTTACACATTAAATAATTTAAAATATCAATGTAAATTTCGTAATGAGCTCACCAAAAATCCAATTGCACAGACTCATCCAATTTGAGACTAAAGAAAAGCCACTACATATAACTACATT